TCCTTCCTTCTTCTTCTCTCTTCTCTTCTCTCTCTTTTCTCTCTCTCTCTCTCTCTCTCTCTCTCTCTCTCTCTCTCTCTTTTTATTTTTCTTTCTTTCTTTTCCTGGAGATTCTTCTTTGTACTATTACCATGTGCAGATTTTCTAAAGTCTCACCAACACTCGTGTTTAAGCCCAAGTTGGCCGTCCTCTGGTCTCTTAACTTTCTGGGTTTCTTTCCCTATAAACTACTTTAAATCCATTTCTTACACGAGAAGTAACTTTATCTTCTCAGCTTCCGACTTCCATTTTGAACTGCTTTTAGAGAGCTCTATCTGGGTCTTCTAGGAATTCAAACTTCATATTTCAAACCGGACTCTTCTCCCCACCGTCCTTGCCCGATCTCGTGAACGTCGACTTCCACATCTCAGCGGATCATCACTTTTTCAGTAGCTAAACCTTGATGACTCTGAGTTGTGTTCTATTTCACCTCCAACGTTCCGCCAGTTGTCAAATCCTGTCAGTCCTGCCTCCGTCGTGGGCTTTCTTTCAGGCTCCTGTCTCTCCCTGCAACTTGACTCCAGCTTGTGCTCTCTCCTCCTTGACAGTGGCAGTGGTTTCCTATTAGTTTCTTTGTCTCCAACCTCCCCCTTCAGTCTGCTGCCAGCGATTAGGCTCTTGTCTCATCACAGAAAGAACTCAGAGATGAAACACGGAGGTCAAGAAGGTAAAGTGGGGATTTATTAAGGGATGGATGGTACACTCTCAAGGGGAGAGCCGGCAGGCTCAGGTGAGCAGCTGCCCTGAGTTTCTTTGTCAACTTGGTTACATAGAGTGTGAAAATGAATGGGAGGAATATTCACTGGGGAGGGAAGGATTTGGGGTCATATTCCCTGATCTCCATCCAAGCTCTACCTTCCTGTAGGGAGGAAGGATTTTTGTCCTTATTTAGTCTGGACTGGAAGTATCATGGCCTTGGTGCATGATGGGTATTTCTAATCTGCAAGGCTAATTTTATTGAAATGAGGGCATAATGAGCAAAAGGTTACATTTGGACACTGGAGATTCCTTCCTTTTCCCACCTTTCTTTGTTGGCCTCCAGGTCACTTGTCACCCCAAAATGTGTGATTTCTTATCAGTCCCAAGGTTCCTGCTTTGCTCAAAGACCCCTGTTGTTTACATGATGGATGATTTCCTGCATTTGGAGCAGAGAAAGGGGGACACACACCAAATGGCAGAAATTGGGCAGAAAGGAGGGACACAGGCCCAATGCAGGGAACCATGTAAACCCCAGGGGTCCCTGGGCAGAGAAAGAAAAGTAGGAAACTCTGGGCTGATAAGTGGTCACACCTTTGGGCATGATAAATGGCCCAGAAGGTGATGGAGTGGGATGCAGGGCCAGTCCAAATGTGCCTGAATGGGCAGGGATTCTTGAGACTCAAGTAGGAGAGGTGCCATTCTCTGCCTTGGTCAGGATACCAGGGTGCTTGCAAAGTAGATATAATTAAGCCTGGGGCAAAGAGGAACACAAGAGGCTCATTCTTAGAAAGTGTACCAGAACCCTGGTTCCAACAGGGCAAGGGTCCATCACATCTGGCATGATGCTAACCTAAACTGACCTGGGACCAAGACTGTGTAGATTGAAAAACACGTGCCCTGACATTGGTTGACACTCCATTTGGCTGCTTCCTGAATCTACTTTTGTCTGTTCAGATCTCTCCTGTCTGGTCCTTTTGTAGTTGAACAAGACCCTATGGGGACTTTCCGGGACAGACCCCACTTCAAATGTTGGTGTTGACTGAAACAAAAAGGACAACACGAGAGCTGAAAGTTCAGTTTTATTGGGGGACTCATGGAGGACTATAGCTGGGGTATAACCTCACAGCTAGCTCTGGGGAGCTGCCCTGAAGAGGTAGGGGGAGGTCAGTATGTACATGATTTGGGAGAAGGGGTAAGTGCAGTCAAGCACACATCTCGGTAGCAGGTTGCTGCTAGTCACGAGGAGCAGATATCTCAGTGATTGTAGTGCTTTTCTAGGTATGAGAAGATGTAAGAAGTTGGGTTCATAATTTCTTCTGAAGATACCTAACTATCTGAAGGTCTGTTCTGCCAGTTTTTCCCAAGGTGTATGTGGGGCCAGGTGGCACTCTCTGGAGTCATAAAACCCCCATCCCTGGGCTCTCTGTGTGCCTGGAACCTATTGATAGCTTAACCCCCACTCCTACTGCAGGTCCCTCCACACACCTGCATTTCTGCAGGATATAAAACATCTTCTCTTGAGGTGTGTTTACCGTAACAAAACTCATCACCCTGGAGACAGCCCGGTTCACAACACCCTGGGTGGACAGGCCTCACACCCTGCCCTTATCAGAGTCATAAAGCCTATTGCTCAGAGAAGTCCCTGACAGATCGTACAACCAATCAGGTACCTGTGCACAAGCTGATCACTCAGCACCCTCCCCTCAAATAAAAGACCCTGGACGCCCCTCCCCGATGCTCACGCAGGCTCCCCTCGCCTGTGTGGCCCGCTGCTGCCGAGAGCGGTGCACCTGTTAAACTTTCCTAAACTTTCCTTGGTCTCTGGTAATTCTTTACTGTCACTGTCCCCATGTTGTGTGCCCACAGCAGTACAGAGTGCCTCATTCTTGAGCTCCACCCTGGACTCCTTTCAGGATGTGTTGAAGGTCATGGCTTCATTATTCTAGAATCAGATGACGAGTGACATTCCTGTTTGCACTTGGAATTTTTTCATCTCCCCAGGTTTCTAGAGGTGGGTGGGGGAGCCCAGCCAGCTGCCTGGTTGACTGAGCTGGATCTTATCACAGACCCCTCTTACCGATCACCCTTAATTGACCGCACTTGATCCCACAGCATGACCATTGCTCAGAATTCTAGAAGCCGTGCTTACATCTTGTTCCCTCAGCCTGCACCTCTTAGCTGTGCCCAGCTCCTGTACCTTTCCATTGTCACGTGTCCCAGCTAGCTGAGAGTCCCACTGGGGGCACTGTCTCTCCCATAGAATTGGCTGACTCTTCCCTCGTAGGTGGACTGCCTCGCTGTGGCTTGGTCTGGTCCTCCTGGGCTTCTCCTTAACATGTGCCAAGTAAGGGACAGGGATGGAGATCCACTGACAGCCCCTGAAACCACAAGGAAGGTGGGGGACAGCCTGCATTCGGCGTTTCTTCCCTCCACTATTCTGAGGTTTCTGCATAAGATCAGGGGAAACTTCTTTGAGAAGAAAGAACCATTCCTTTCCCATTTTCTCTTTCCTGCTCCTTCGTGACCACGTCCTCCTCTATTGAGTTTCCCTAGATGTTGAGTAAGGTCCACAGATATCCAGGGTGGTTCCCAGTCCTGGGGAGAGACTTCAGGAGACACATTTTTTCAGTCTGTTGTAGAGTAAGGGACTGGGGTCTGGGGTTTAGGTCTCCTGGATTCTAGCCTTTGGTTTTTCCTGATACACTGGGTACATCTTTGAGCAGCCTGGCATAAAAAAAGACATTTTAATATGATGTGTGGATACAGGCTACAGGGGGTTCAGAAAGCCTTTGAGTGTGGGTAGTTTTTGCTTTTGGTTCCCTTTTCCTGCCTTGGACAGATCTCTCTGCTTCTTTCCTTGCCTCTGTGAGTCTCCAGGGACATCCTCTGGGACAATTTTCAGTTTGAGCCACTAGGTGGTGCCACAAACCTATCAGTCACTCACCAAAAAGGTCACTGCCAGCTGGGATAAGAGCAAGGATTTCTTGGGAACTGCAGTGATGTGGTAGAAGGAATGCACTGTTTTCTTCCTCCAGACTCTGGAAGTCAACCTCAATGTTCTTTCCATGGCTGCCTGAGGAGAAGGAGGCCATTTCCCCAACTTCACTGAGCATTCCTCTGACCCTTTCCCCCTGCCCTTTGCTGCTGACTGGAGTAGGTAGCTGCACACAGAGGAGAGGCATCCTTCTTTGTGATCCTGGCGTGGGAACGCCTCTCTTGTTCACGAGAGGCAGCAGAGACCAGTGGTTAAGTGTACAGACTCTATATCTATCGGATCACATTTGAACCTGGCTCCATTTATAAACTATGTAAATGTGAGCAAGTCACTCAACTTCCCCGTGCCTCAGTTTTTTTCATCTATAAAATGGGGAGAAGGAAAGTGACCTGCTTTAGGATGGTTACACTGTGGCGGTGTAGCTATCACTTATTAGACTATCCAGTTTAGATACTAGATCAAACCAAACAAACTTCAGTCCCCGGTGGGGTCGATCTGCCATCTCAGTGGCCCTGGAGAGACACTATCAGTCCATGTCTTTTCTAGTCTTTTTTCCAAAAAGAAACCTTGGTGTGCCTCCTGCTCCCAGAAGTGGGAGAGCTCTACCTCTGGCCACAAAGCTGGTAGAAGACCGTGAGGCTGCTCTTCTGGTCTTGAACTTCTTCCCATGACCATCTCCTTGAAGGTAGAGCCTCCAGACCATACACCAGTGTCCCAACTGGTGGCTGCCTCCCACCAGCTGTCTGCTGTTGGCAATTCTTCCCTTTGAAACCACAGTGTATCTAACTTGGCATTTTTTTCTTTACATTTCTGGGTCCTCAGTTATGAAATCATTTTGGTTGTTCAAAAATATTGATTCCAGGAGCTCTTAGGGCTGGACACTCTGTTGGCATGTTGTGAATCTGCTGTGGCATTGTCACTGGAGTGTGTGTTGTCAATTCCAGCAGCCTAGGGAAAGGAACTGGCTCTCTTCTCACAGCAAACAGGAGGAACTGCCAAGCCATCAGTTCACTGAGTGACTCCTGGGGATGCCAGGCTGTGAAAGGAGAGAGCAGAGTCCTCTGGACATACCAGCCCTCTGCTCTCAACATCAGGTTATAAAATGCAATTCACATCCCCTCGGGGCTCTCTGAAGATCAATATATGCTATTGATAATAACTCTCTTTACCGCTTAGGTTTTCCTGAATTATCTGTATTTCCTGTTCTTCAGATTTGTCCTCCAGTTAGTGGCTTATTGACTCACGTTGGGGGTGAAGTGGAGGTTAGAAGACGAGACAAAACTGAATCCCTTATGGGCTCAGGGATTTCGAGCACAGTCATCTTCAGGCAACAGAGGCGGCCCTGGAGGGTCCTAAAGACTCCTTATCACCAAGCAGCTGATTGGCTTCCTCAGCTAGAGAAACAGTCCTTCCTTTTTTCGACTGGCTTCTGGGAGAGATGAACATTTTGAATAGGAGAAGATTTCTGTGCCTACACAAAAAAGGCACACAGCCTCACTCATTCCTGACAAACAGATTTGTGCCTTGGATTCTGTGGTGAAAATATTGTCTTTTTTTTTAAGTTGTGCATTTTTCTGTTGAAACCTGCTAAAGGATGTTGAGTGATCTTTTCTCCTAACACCCCAGAATGGGCACTAGGGACCGCAGCTGAAGACAACAAGTGGGGACAACCTGCCACTGTGGAGACAGCCACCAGCGCTCATGGGGCCCTGGAAGCCACCTCCTCCAGGTTTATTAGGAAGTAATGAACAGTCCTTCTACCAACAGCCACCGCTCCCCGCCTCCCCCCACCCCACCCAAGTCTGTACAAGGAAACTAAGGAGAAAGAAGGGTAAGAAAGGAAAAAAGCCACTGATGGGCAGTGTTTGTTTTGAGAAGTGAATTCTTGCCCATCTTCTGGACAAGGAGTAAGTCATATGTCACTGCCCCTCCACAGCTCCGTGATGGGGAGGCTTATCTACCAAGCAGACTCATAGACATAGGGAACAAACTTATGGCTACCAGGGGGTAAAGGCGGTGGGATGAACTGGGAATTCGAGACTTGCACCTCTTGGGGAATGATAGAAATGTTAGCTGTCTTGACTGTGGTGATGGTTTCATTGGTGTATACATCTGTTAGAATTCATCCAATTGTATATCTGGGGAAAAAAAGAAATTGGGGAAGGGGAGCTAGGCATCTTGATGTCCGGTTGGGTGACTTGCTACCTTGTGCAGATGACATTGTGGCATGGTCCTCTGCAGGTGGAAGCTTGGAGGAAGGAGGTGGCTGGAACCAGAGTTAGAGCTCCTGAATCAAGAAGTATGCTGAGCAGGGGCCCTGGGAGCCCCATCAAGAGGTCCCACATGGGCTTTTTGAAGAGCAAATATTTGAACAGCAACCACCTGCGGGGTGTCTATAGCTAGTTAATGTTACCTTGAGAAGCAAAGAGACTAATGGGGAGAGGAAACACAGGGGCCAGTTAAATAGGAGACACCTCTCTCTGCCTCCTTCCTGCCAACATACTGGAGAGGCTAAGCATTAAAGGGAGGTAGAGGGAAGGCCGCTCAGAGCTTCCCCTATTGCCTTCCCCTCTGGCACAAAGGTCTGGGTCAGAACTATGCTAGTGGGAGGAGATGGTATGATATGCATATCAAGTTTGAGATTAAAATCTCAATTGGACTAAGTTTTTTTTTTTAATGAAATATAGTCAGTTTACAAGGTTGTGTTAATTTCTGGTATATGGGCTAAATTTTAACAATAGAAAATAACCAGAAAAATTTTGAAATCTGCCTAGGATGTCACTAAGGAATGCAAAAGTCAGATTTGATTGCGCTTCATTGAAGGCAGTGATTAGAGAAAAAACTACACCATGTTCATACCACACTTATTTGGCTCAGAGCAATACACTCGTTACAAGTCTTTTAAAAATGATTTGTCCCAAAAGGGACACAGCCATCTTTAAAAGAGGTGTGTGTAGTATAAATTGGAGATGGCTTTATTAGCAGATATATTTTCTGTAGCAGGAAGTCATAAACTTTTCTGGTATAAAACACAGGTTTTTCCTAACTCTAATATCTTAACTAAAAGCAAATCATAAAAAGCCACTTGGTGTTAAATTTTAATAGATTTCTATGCAGTTCAAGGTGAGCGTTGGGGATTAAGATGAAGGATTATTGCTAGCCTACTTAAAGTAGACTCAAATCCACCAAGAATGCTAACAGTCATGTCCACTTGCATTTCTCTAGTAGTGATGCTGAGCATTTTGTTCATGTGCTTTTTAGCCATCTTTTTGTCTTCTCTGGAAAAATGTCTATTTAGGTCTTCGGCCCATTTATTGATTGGGTTATTTGGCATTTTTTTGATATTGAGATGTAGGAGCTGTTTATGGATTTTGGATAGTAACCCCTTGTCAGTCATATCATTTGCATATCTTCTATTCCATAGGTTGTCGTTTCATTTTATTGATGGTTTCCTTTGTTGTGCAAAAGCTTCTGAGTTTAATGAGGTCCAATTTGTTTAGTTTTGCTTTTCTTTTGCCTTGGAAGACAGATTAAAAAAATATATTGCTTCGATTTATGTCAAAGAGTGCTCTGCCTACATTCTCTTATATGAGTTTTATGGTTTCAGGTCTTAACATTTAGGTCTTTAATCCATTTTTGAGTTGATTTTTTTGTATATGGCATGAGGAAATGTTCTAATCGCATTGTTTGACATGTAGCTGTCCAGTTTTCCCAGCACCACTTACTGAAGAGATTGTCTTTTCTCCATTGTATTAAAAAGTTCTCTGAGCAGGCTTATATATTGGAACATCTTGGGGGCTCTTCTAGATTCTACATTCATTTTGACTGGTTCTGTTCAAATATTCAGCCACTAGGAGTTCCAATTCATTCTCTGAGGACTAATGGATCCCTACAGCGGTTTAGTAGCCCCTCCCTGCTCCCCACCTCCACCGCCAAGTCAACAAAAATGGGCCTGCCTGGTGTGGCCCACTAGGCATGGCTTCTCTTGGCCTTTGATGACTTTCCTTGTCTGACCATTGGCCATTGATTGTGACCTCTGCAGAAGGTTCTCTTCTCATTGCCCCTGTCTATGACCTCAGCTTAGCCTAACTTATAAAATTCTCTTGTTTGGCCATGACATTTGCTCTGCTTGTTAAGCTCCGCTGTCTGTCTTGGTTAAACATTTTCCAAGTGTTGATTCTTGTTTTTAAACCATTTTGCTTTTAAAAATCGCAACATGGGAGGTGAATAGGATAGCAGTGTTTGCAAAGAGGAAAGGATATTGGTCGGAGAGCATTTATGGTGGGGCTATATGGCGTAGCATTAAATCTGAGTTTTCTGATACGTGTTCAGTATATTTTGCCCCTCTGCTCTCTCACTGGTACCCTGGGGCTGTTTTCCCCTTTCCAGCCCACACAGAAACAAAGACTTTAAAGGAGCTGCCAGGCCTAACCCGGGAAGAGAAAACGGATGCATGCTCACGTTTAGCAGTTTTCCATCCCCCATGGTGAGGTAACCTGGAGCTGGGGAAAAGAGAAGAGGAGGAGGATGGACAACAGACCAGAGTGGTTGGAGTGGGGAGGGGGAGAACCCCAGGCTTAGTGAGGATTAGGGATGGAGTGATGGTCCTTGGTACCCAACAATCCATCCACTGCTTGTGTGCAACCTGCTGTCCCCCAGTCCTGGAACCCTACAAGCCCCTGAGCAGAGGGTGAGGAATTTGGGGCACCTTGTGTGAGAAGGGGGTATAAAATGAAAACTTCATCCCTGATCAAGGAGGAGCAGTTCAGAGCCAGTCAGATTCCCACTGTTACATACTTCAGTACGAACTGAGCTGGTTCGCCAGCTTGTGGGTAAAAATGATGCATTTCACCTGGATTTTAAGTTCTGCGATCTGGTCATTCCAGAGGGTCTAATGTCTCAATGGAAAATGTTGTTAATTTTATGGATTCAAATGAATTACAAGGTACAAGGCACAAGACTACAAGAGTGCAAGATATGAACACCTTACACTCATGTGTAAGACTGAGTGGTGATTGAAGCGTTCATTAGTGTCCTGAACTGGATGCTTAATTTTTTAAATGAAACTGTATTTTGTTACTTAAAGTGACTTAAAAT